TGTGTGTGTGTGTGTGTGTCTGTGTGTGTGTGTGTGTGTGTGTGTGTGTGTGTGTGTGTGTGTGGTACGTTTGCATTTCTTTGAATCTGTTTTTTGATCATCAAACCGCCACTTGATGTTCAACTATCTTCGGTTTTCTTTGACATGGTTGGCAGCCCCGCTATTTTCTTCAATATGTGAAAGCAAGTCATTATACCATTTTAGCAATACCAGTCTAAACAAACTTTTCAAACATGAATATAGAATTTAGACTTGTCTCCCTGCGCTCATAACCTTCCATTTTGTGCTTTTTTAATTACCACAAAAAGGTTGACACATTTTATCTAAAATCCTTGAATTTGAACAATAAAGCTTTGTGGGGTGAATGACACCAACTATTACCACCCACTGACTTCTATTATTCCGCCATTGGAAGTGGATAAAAGATCACAATTGCTGGCGGTAAAACGATTGCCTGGATCCTGCCACTTTAATTTGTTGATTCTGCTTTGTCAATACAGCTTCTGAGTTTGTCTCGATGTTGAATTGCTGCAAATATTTGGTTCTAGTAGAAGTTCAGTAAAAGGTCCCATCAACTACAGATGGCTCCGTAACCCCATATATTACAACAGCCTCAATCTTTATGTCTGATTATAATTTCAAACATGTAGCAGATGGCATATTGTGTTATCTTTCCTGTGATGTTTTATTATTGATTATGTTGAAATGAAGTTGCAGCAACCTACAGCTGTTGGATCTCATCTGTGTGCGGCTATATTGATGGCAATTTCCAGTTTACGATGCCATGCAATAATATATTAAGAGATGAATGTCAGCTTGCTGGGGGAATATCTTTATGTACATCAGTCACATATATGTCGTGAATATTGGGTAGCGGAATACATTTAAAGATTGCATGAATACAGCTGGTGAAGTATGTCAGACATTGGTATTGAGCTGCTGTTGAGTGGAATCTGTGCCGAGGCTCTGCTTTGTACGTGTTCTCCTGTATGAGCAGCTTCAGGCCTGGGAAATTCCAATCAATCATTTCTGTAAAAGGAGGTGGTCTTTGTATGCTGAATGAGTATATCACTCCACAGCCATACTCAACTCATAATGGAGCCTCGTACATTTTCCTTGAACCACAATGCAA